AATATCGTGACATCAGAGAAGACGCAATTCGCTGATGAGGAGGAGCACGCCAGGCACAGCCCACGACGTCTTCGAGGATCACTACCAGAGCACCGCCAGATGTGGGTACCAGGACTGTTGCGCCTCCTCGACACCTGGAGGGGGGAACCACTCTGGATTGAAGGCCATCGGAGTGGGCATGGTCGCTTCCATCAGCTGCGCCGCCTGCGTGGGCGCGGGCGGCGGTGGTAGCGGCGACATGTGACGCCTCCGCGCCTGGAGGCCCGAGCAGCAAGCTCGCGTGCCCTTCAGTGCTGGGCGCAAGAAGTGATGATCTGGCCAGTGGCAAACTCAGACCTCAACGAGTTTCGCCAGGCGGCCAACGTCCCGTTTCGCCTGACTGGCACGGCTCGTGGGTGCGCGGGCGAGTGGCCGCCGGCTGTCCTCGTCCGGGCCGCCAGCCTATGATTTACCTCGGGCACCGCCTGGCCGAACGGCGGGGCCGGCTTGGAGAGGGGGGACGCACGCAGGCGGCGTCGGCTCTGATGAAGTTCAACGATTGCCGCGGGAGCGTCTCGACAACCTCCTCGCCAGGTTCAACGTCCTCCGCAACAGGGCGCAGCAGGCCTGTGAACTCGCGATCGGCTGCGAGGGCCTGACCTACCTCTGGTTGCGCGCGGTGGGCGCGTCCAGAATCCAGGTCGCCATGCTCCTGCGGCGTTGCGGCGTGGCCAGCCCGAGGGGCGCGCCGCAGCTGGCGCGCGTGATGGGCCAGCTGCGCAGATTTGGACATGTCATTGAGGCTCGCCGGGCAATCTCGCCTCAGCCGTGCGTTCGCCCCCGCGCCAAACGTTCCTCGCGGGCGCGCCCGCGCGCGATCAGGATCAGAGCGCCTATGGCGCTGGAGCCAGATCGAGCCGGGATGGCAACGGCCTTCCAGCCCCTGGAGCGGCGCAGCGTCCGCCTGCAGCACCTGCTGCCGCCCGCGCCGGCACGGCAGCACCGCGGGCCGCGTGCGGCCGCCATCGGAAAATAGCTTAGCAGGCCGCCTGCGGTGGCTGGCAGACCAGCTGCGCGCCAAAGGCCGACCCTGTGGCGAAGGGGAGCATTGGCCGGGAGCTCATCCTCGACATCGTGGATGGGGGAGCTCGTCTACATGCGCCCCGCGGCGAGGTTGAGCGAGGAGCGTCGCAAGAAAATAGCGCCGAGCTCCAGCTACAGAAACCTCAACAAGGATCACGACGACGGGTGATCTACTCGGGGTCGTATGTTCGAGCTGTGTTCGCGAATGCGCCGAGCAAAACGTATTTCGCGAACTGTCTTCGCGAATGCGACGCAGTGCGTCAGGGAGAGAAGTGCGAATATATCCGTAAGGGCTTCACCCCCTGCCGCCGGCCCCCTCTCTCGGAGAATGGGCCATGGAAGAGCTAAGTCATGAGGCCTTGGCGCTGTCGTGAAGCAGTATCGAAACTTCATGCGAAGCCGATTCGCAATCAGCAAAACCAACTGATCACAAGAGGGGTTACCACACCTGGCGATTGGTAAGACGTGTATGGTTTACGGGCTTGGTTACCACACCTTGCGATTAAAGGGCCGAGGGAGTTCTCGCAGTTTGGGTTACCACGCCTTGCGATGGATGTGCGTGAAGGGTGGCACCGAATTTCAGAAATGTGGCAAATCCCATGTGTTTTTGGACCCTGACCCCGCGGATCTGCGTGAGGGGTGGCACCGAATTTCAGAAATGTGGCAAATCCCCTGTGTTTTTGGACCCTGACCCCGCGGATCTGCGTGAGGGGTGGCACCGAATTTCAGAAATGTGGCAAATCCCCTGTGTTTTTGGACCCTGACCCCGCGGATCTGCGTGAGGGGTGGCACCGAATTTCAGAAATGTGGCAAATCCCTTGTGTTTTTGGACCCTGACCCCGCGGATCTGCGTGAGGGGTGGCACCGAATTTCAGAAATGTGGCAAATCCCTGTGTTTTTGGACCCTGACCCCGCGGATCTGCGTGAGGGGTGGCACCGAATTTCAGAAATGTGGCAAATCCCTGTGTTTTTGGACCCTGACCCCGCGGATCTGCGTGAGGGGTGGCACCGAATTTCAGAAATGTGGCAAATCCCCTGTGTTTTTGGACCCTGACCCCGCGGATCTGCGTGAGGGGTGGCACCGAATTTCAGAAATGTGGCAAATCCCTGTGTTTTTGGACCCTGACCCCGCGGATCTGCGTGAGGGGTGGCACCGAATTTCAGAAATGTGGCAAATCCCATGTGTTTTTGGACCCTGACCCCGCGGATCTGCGTGAGGGGTGGCACCGAATTTCAGAAATGTGGCAAATCCCTTGTGTTTTTGGACCCTGACCCCGCGGATCTGCGTGAGGGGTGTCGATTTCGAGCCCCCCCAGCAATTCAGACAACGCGCCCAGGGGACGCTAAAAAGTCTTGTTTGGGCCTCCCCCCCCCTCGCGCGGCGGTCAATCAACTAGTTACAGTAACCAGCAAGAAGCAGAACTGTAACACTGGAAACTACAAGCTACAACTGGTACAGGAAACTGCGAACCCGCGCCTACAGCCTGGTGGCCCCACAAGGGGGCCGGCGGATTCGTGTGCGACGTAGTGACCCATGTCAGTGATGGGCAGTCTCCATGAATTATGTTCGTGGGGCAGCAGGCCCTTGTGCGTTGATCATTCGAATCGTTTATTTTGTGCTCCACCGACGTTCTGCTGCCCGCCTTTCTGTTTGGTCGCGGCCTCAACTTTTTATGCGGAGTTCTAGTCGGTTCGCGTAACCACGCCAGCCCATTCAGAAACGATGCGCAGAGGAATTGCTTCAATCAGTGAATTGGGCAGCGCGCAGAGAAAGGGTCTCCCAGTGGAGGCCTCTTGGAGCGTCTTGGGGGCCTCTTGGCGGTCCCGGAAGCCTCTTGGAGCGTCTTGGGTGCCTCGGCGAGCTTTTTGGGGCCTCTTGGGGGTCTCTTGGGGGCCTCTTGGGCGCTTCTTGGGCGCCTCTTGGGGCTTCCTGGGGCCTCCTGGGCGCCTTTTGGGGCCCTCTTGAAGCGCTCCTGGTAGCCTTGGGAACGCTCTTGGGGCCATCTTGGAAAGCATCGATCAAACAAGAGGGGTGTTTTAACTAGCCGTGACCCTCCAAGACACCCAAATGGGGCCAACACCTCAGTAAAACCGGAGATCTCGCCTTCCTCGCCGAGGCTGTTTTGGACGCCGTGACACTTCGCGACCGGCCCCGTCCAGGTCCAGGGGAGGGGGTAGGTGGAGGGGTAAACCCGTCCCCCAAGGGGAAGAGGGGCAGATGGAAGACACAAATCACCCTAGACCCCCTACGCCCTAAAGGGCTGGTGGAATTTGGTTCGCATAGTTTTCTCATTCAGTGCATCTTTATATGAGAAGGGTTGTTCGTAAAACCCCTTGCTTGTTTGGTGTGGCCAGTCTGTCGGGTTTCGGTGGTGACCTAGACGGGTTGCGTCCGGGCTGGCAACGAGGCGGACCTGTTCGAACACCAAACTTGAACGGTAGACATTTTTTTCCTTGAGCATTTTACCAGAGTAGCAGTGTTGTAAATGCGGGTGCGGGAGCGCGCCCGCTGTAATATTATTGCTGCGAGACTTTCCACTGTACGTCTTCCGTTGAAGAACATCTTGTTCATCGCTCTACATCTTGGTCTCCTCCTCCACACTCCACCATGCCCCTCCTCCCTCGTGAGGCTCGTGGCGGTCGACCCCGGAGGGCTACGTGCAGGACTACGTCCCCTCCACTCTCGTCACCGAGAAAGCAGGCGGGCTGTCGTGCCGACGACTGGGGGGGAGGGAAATGTGAAGGAGAAGCCGGGAGAGGAGGCTTGCGCCCTGGCCGCCTCGCCCGCGCTCTGCTGCAGATCCTCCTCCTCTTCCTGCTCCTCCTCCTCCTCCTCTTCAATCCTTTCCTTTGCCATTTCTAGAGGACTCATCCTGTCGCACCCCGAGGCAGATCGAACAGGCGGGTTGGGCGTTTCGCCTGAGATTTCTTCACCGTTCATGACCCCGAGACTCAGAATTCGCAACCGTTCCACTGATAGAGGGCGGGCCGTTTTCTAAATGCGGCTCTCGCTTTAGCGCCTCGCGCATTCGTCTTTTAAAAGTTGCAAGAGTTTTGCGGATGCAGGGCGGGTCGTCGTTTCCAAAATGTCGCTCTCGCCTTAGCGCCGCGTGCCCTCGTCTTAAACATTTGCAAGGGTTTCGCGGATGGAGAGTGGGCCGCTTTCAAGATATGGTTTTCGCCTTATCGCCAGCACATTTGTTTTACACATTGCAAGAGCTTTACGGATGGAGGGTGGGTAGTTTTCAACATGTGGCTCTCGCCTTAACACCGCGCCCCTTCCTTCTTAAACATATGCAGTCGTTTTACGGATGGATTGCGGCTCCTTTTCAACCTATGGTTCTCGCCTCAGTTCCGCGCACATGCGTTTGAGAGTTTACAGCAATTTCGAGAGTTGTTAACGTCCAAAAATTCATGTTTCGGCATGGTGCCAGACTGTCAGGGCGTAGCAATTCTGTTGGTTCGTGGTGTTAGACTTTAAGAAATCGTGTACTGGTACCATTCAGGATCGTCAAGGCGCAACTGTAACGGTGATTCGCGGCGTTGAAGCCCCTGGAACAGAGTTCTGGCACAGTTCACGATTCACGACCGGTTGTTTTCCAACTGGGCCTTCCCCTCAGTTGAAATGAATCCCTGTTGGGGCCTATGAAGGGAGCTTGGGGGGACGGTTTAGTGCAATATCGTTGGTGAGTCTTGGGTTTGCACTCCTTCTCCTCCTCCTTCTCCGTCGCCTCCTCCTCCTCCTGCTCCTCCTCCTCCTCCTCGACCCCCCCGTCCTCCTTCTCCGCCCTCCTGCTCCCCCTCCCTCCTTCTCCTCATCCTCCTCGCCCTCTTCCCCTTCCTCCCCCTCCCCTCCGGCACGAAGGCGGCGCTGGCGCGCGCCCCGCGGAATGGTTCGACAGCAAAGTGCTCCAGATAGACGGCCTTGGGCGCGACCAGCTGCCGTACCCAGGGACGCCAGAGCGGTCGATGGAGGCGGCCCGAGTCGGCTACGCGTAAGAGTTGCTTTCGCTGGAGTGATTTTTGGTGCAGGCCCACAGGGGTCGTTCCAGCACTAGCTTGCGCGCCTGGATTTTGCCTTCCCGCGGCCCCCTGAAGCCGCGCTCCAAGGGTCACTCTTGCCGGCCGTCACTTTTGCGCGTAGTCAGCAGGGAGGGAGAGAGGGAAAGGATCCTCCCCCCCTCAGGAGTTTCCGGACCGTTTCGTGGGCTCTGTGTATTTCTACATGTTTTTAGGGGGTATGAGAGGATGGAGGTGCAAGGGGAGGCATAGGATGGAGAGGGGAACGAGGGAGGAGGGAGGAGGGAGGAGGAGGACGATGAGGAGAGGGAGGAGGAGCAGGAACAGCAGGAGGAGGAGAAACAGGAGGAGGAGTAGGAGGAGGAGGAGGAGGAGGAAGGCTATCATGATTATCATTTTCCTCATGGTGATGGTTGCGATCATGTTGCTGGGTGACCAAATGGGCGATGTCTACACTGATAAGTAGAGGACGGTTGTGACGATGCTTCTGAATATGACGCTGCTGCTGCTTCTGCTGCTGTTGATGATGATATGATGGTAATGGGTTGTTATCATGCCAACAACAATGATGGTGATGCTGATCATGATGATGATGATGATGAGGATGATGAGGATGATGATGATGACGGTGATGCTGATTATGCTGATGATGACGATGCGGATGGTGATAACGACGATGACGATGGTGTTGATGACAATGATGATACTGATGATGACGATGATGTTGCTGATGATGATGATGATGATGATGATGATGATGACGATGGTGATGCTGATGCTGCTGATGCTCCTGCTGATGATGCTGATAGTGACGATGATGCTGATGATGCTGATGACGTTGCTGCTGATGATGATGATGCTGATGATGATGATGAGGATGACGATGCTGATGATGATGATGCTGTTGTTGGTGATGGTGATATCGATGCTGGTGATGACGCTGATGATGATGATGATGATGATGATGATGATGTTGCTGCTCTTGCTGATTATGCTGATGCCGATGATGATGCTGAGGATGAAGATGATCATGATGATCCTGATGATGATGCTGATTGTGATGATGCTGAATATGATGATGCAGCTGCTGCTGCTGCTGATGATGATGATGATGATGATACTGATGGTGCTGATGATGATGGGTGATGCTGATGGTGATGATGATGGTGATGATGATGATGATGACGATGCTGATGCGGCTGCTGATGATGATGATGATGATGATGATGATGATGATGATGATAATGATGATGATGATGCTGATGATGATGATGATGATGATGATGATGCTGATGCTGCTGCTGCTGCTGCTGCTGATGATGATGATGATGATGATGATGATGATGATGATAATGATGATGATGATGGCAACGATGTGGATGATGATTCTGATCATCTTTATGGTGGTGCTGGGGTTGTTCATTAGATCGAGTTGAACAAGTTTGGGGAGGCTTGTCCAATGGGGTACGTCCGGGGTTCCGCGGGGTGTTGTCCGGATCCTTGCGGGGTTGTCCAAGGGGTTATCCGGGCGGCGTTGTCTTGCCAGCACGTGCACATGCCATTCCAGGATGAGGAGGAGGAGGAGCAGGAGGAGGAGGGCAGGAGTGGGGAAGAAGGAGAAGAAGGAGGATCATGAGGAGGAGGAGAAAAGGAGCGGGAGGAGGAACAGGTAGGAAGAAGAGGAGGAGGAGGAGCAGGAGGAGGAAGAGGAGGAGGAGGAGGAGAAGGAGAAGGATGAGGACCAGAAGAAGCACGCGGATGGGGGGAGGAACGCGAGGAGTAGGAGGAGGAGGAGGAACAGCAACAGCAGGATGAGCAGGAAGTAATGAGGAGGAGCAGCAGAAGGAGGCGGATGAATATCAGGAGGAGGACGACGACGTGGACAGTTAGACCAGCGGGATGTCCCCCGCATGATCGCTTCAACAGCACCTCGCAATATTTCAGGAATGGCACGGGGGATAACAGCTGCATCACGAGGCAATGCCGCCTTGTCCAACATGCGTCCTCAAGCGAGTGAACACAATTTTAATTCACTTGAGATGGCAGTTTGTTGTTGGAATATCGGTCTCTAGACGGGACGCACCCCCAAACCCTTCTTTGTCTGTTGTTTCCCAGGCGTGCTGGCTATTTTCGAACGGCCTGCGGGCATCGCAAAGCATATGTTCTTCCACAAAGGAGGCTGAAACTTTTGGAACCAGAAGTGTTAAAGTGATCTTGGGGTCCCAGACATCACCGTGGGCCTCCTGAGCGTTAGAAAAGCATTGAAGCTGGCGCGAACCAGCTGGAACCAGGGATGTAGCAGCTCCGCATATTGACGTCACAGTACACTGACCAGGAATATTGTTGCAACATCTAGAGTATCTTCAGCTGCAGGAGCTGTGGCGGCTGCCATGAAACCAACGTGCCAGTGCATCGGCTTCGCGCACCAATTCAGGCAAACCCGATGAAACATGCGTCTGGGTTTACAACGTATATGACATGGGCACACAACACATTTAGGCAAAACGCTGTTGTTCCCAACCATCCTGTGGTGTTGGGTCCTGACTTTGAAGAGACAGCGCCCCGCGTCTCACTCCTCCCTCTTCTTCCTCCTCCTCCCCCTCCTCCCACCTCCCTGCGTTTCCCCCACCCAGTACAGCGTTTCGTGGCCCCGTACGGAGCTCCACTGAAGGCCCCAGTGGCGCCGCCCGCATGCGCCACCGACACCCATTTCGGCACACCCTTCACACGTTTCGTGGCCCCAAAGGGAGCTCCACCGAAGGCCCCAGTAGCACCGCCCGCATGCGCCACCCCCACCCAGTACAGCGTTTCGTGGCCTCATAGGGAGCTCCATCGAAGGCCCCGGTGGCACCAGTGGCACCGCCCGCATGCGCCACCCCCACCCAGTACAGCGTTTCGTGGCCCCGTAGGCCCCAGTGGCACCGCCCGCATGCGTCACCCCCACCCAGTACAGCGTTTCGAGGCCCAGTAGGGCGCTCCACCGAAGGCCCCAGTGGCACCGCCCGCATGCGTCAGCGACGCCCAGTACAGCGTTTCGTGGCTCCATGGGAACTCCACCGAATGTCTCAATGGCACGGCCCGCATGAGCGTCACCCACACCCAGTACAGCGCTTCGTGGCCACATCGGGAACTCCACCGAAGGCCCCAGTAGCACCGCCCGCATGCGCCACCCCCACACAGTACAGCGTTTCGCGGCCCCTTAGGTAGCTTCGCCGAAGTCCCCAATGTCACCGCCCGCATGCGCCACCCCCACCCAGTACAGCGTTTCGTGGGCCCATAGGGAACTCCACCGAAGGCCCCAGTGGCACCGCCAGCATGCGCCACCCCCAGCCAGTACAGCGCTCCGCGGCCCTATAAGGGAAGCTCAACCGAACGCCCCAGTAGCACCGCCCGCATGCGCCACCCCCACCCAGTACAGCCTTACGCGGCCACACATGGAGATCCACCGAAGGCCCCAATGGCACCGCCCGCATGCGTTACCCACACCCAGTACAGCGTTTTGTGGCCCGCCAAGGGAGTTCCACCGAAGGCCCCAGTGGCACCGCCCGCATGCGTCACCCAACCCAGTGCGGCGTTTTGTGGGCCCGTAGGGAACTCCATCGAAGGCCCCAGTGGCACTGCCCGCCCCCACCCAGTACAGCGGTTCGTGGCCCCATAGGGAGCTCCACCGAAGTCCCCAATCCACCAGTGGCGGCCCCACCCTATTGCGGCGCACCCCTCACATTTTTGTCGGCCTCGTAGTGCGTTCCACCATCAGACCAGTGACAGCGCCCACATGGCGGCCCCGCCGCATATCGGCACACCCTTCGCGTGCTTCATGTCACCAGGAGTAGATCCCCCGAAAGGCGATACCCGCAACGACGGTACTCACAATTGCATATGGTTGGGTCCTTCGCCCGGATAATTGTTGTGCTGCTATCTGCTCTCGGGGCCTTGCGCAGCAAGCGCTGCAGCAACGTTGCGACACACAGCTTCGGGGGAATCCCGCTGTCAGCGATGTTGCAGGCTGGCGTTGCAGGAAGCGCCGCGGCAAAAGACAGCAATGAAAAGTGACAGTCTGCATCAAGCACACGAACCGCAACAACCAGCGCACTAAGTGAATTTCAAGCAGCCGAGGGGCCTGCAGCAAAATGACACCAACAAGACGTCGAGTAAGCCAAGTGGTGAAATAAACATGGCGGCAGGACCAACACCAATGCTGCACCAATGTGTTCCTTTCGTGCCTGTAGCAGGCAGGCCCGTGGCAATTGGAGCGAGCAAGGTCGCTTGAAGTGAACATGTTGGCAACAACGCTGGCAACGCGATGCGCCTCAGAAGCAAACGGACGCGCTTGGGGTGAGTGTCCTGGCAACAATGCCGGCAACGCGGTGTGCGGCACGAGCTAGCGGGCGCAATTGGAGTTGGGTTTTTTGGCAGTTGCGCTAGCATTGCAATTGGCGCTAGGAGTGATCAGATTGAGGGGGCCGGACGGTCATTCACTGTCCTTGAGTGCGTGGCTGAAGTGGGATTCCGTGATGTGGATTATGGCTGTTATTGGTTGTTTGTTTGTTAGTTTGTCTGTTTGTTTGCTTGTTTGTTGTGTTGTTGTTTTGGTTTTGGTGGTTGTTGTTTTTGTTGTTGTTGTTGTTGTGGTTGTTGTTGTTGTTGTTGTTGTTATTGTTGTTGCCGTTGTTGTCGTTGTTGTTGTGGTAGCAGTTCTTATGTTTTATGTTTTTGCTGTTGATCTCTGGAAGCGGTTCCGCGCGCTCTCGCCTCGATGCCGGCTGCAATTCCTCTGAAAACGAGGCTCCCGCTCGAGCGCGGGCTTGAGTGTAAATGTGTGCCCTTAGAGGCCCGGCTACAACGATAACGGCTTCCGCTCAATACGTCCTCACAGTTGATCCCAAGACACCCATGCCAGATAGGCCCCCGAGATTTTGTCACAATTCAAGCAAGTTCGCGGAGGCCGAGCCCCG